AGAACTTTAAGCCATCTTCTGTTCATGGTGGCTGGAGAAGATTACGACGTGAAGTAGGTCACCTAAGGACAGATCCTCTCTGATCAGACCTGCGGCGGTCTATGGGCGGGAGGCGGGTCCATCCTGGAACGATCATCTCAGACTGACGCACTGACACACACACACACACACATGTTGTGTCACAATATCCTTGTGGGGACCTTCCATTGACTTCCATTCATTTCCCACTAATTTATATGGCCTAACCGTGACCCTTGCCCTAACCCTAACCATTACCGACACATACCTATCCCTAAACCTAACCTAAACTCCATTCACACCTTAGTCCTAAACCTAACCCCCACCCCAAGAAGAGAAACTTTCCTTGTGGGGACCAGTTGTTGGTCCCCACAAGTACCTATGAGTCCCCAAAATGTAGCATATTCCTAGGAAATTGTCCCCACCAGGTATTAAAGACATGGCCACACACACACCTAAGGACAGCAGAGAAGCCGATGAACCTAACTTTACGTTTTTGAGTCATATGGATTCATGACAAAATAAAAAAATCTTCAGGTCTCAGAAGGTGATTTAAAGATGATTGAATCCAAACTCTCTTCAGCAGTTTTGCACCTTTATTGTTTTATGTGTAAAAGTTTTAAAGCAGAGACAGAAGCTATGAAGATTTAAAGCCTTTCAGGCTCAAATCCGAAGCATTTCCAGCGTTTTTACCTTGGCTGGAGTTTTTAGGATCATCCTTTTAAGGCAGGTATTACCTCATTGGTGTTTATGAGGCTGAAAGGCATTGCCACATAAAAAGTGCTGTTTTTTCCAGATATCCTGCTACGTGTGGACAGCCTCTGAGAATCAGTAAGCTCTCTTCAGCCCAGGTGAGACAGAGGATCAGGAGTTATCAGACCTCCTACGGGCCCAGAGAGGACGTCATAATAACACCTTACCTGGTGGCTGAGGTCAAACCGGTATTCTGTCCCTCAGGGAACGTTTTTTTGTTTCCTGAAAACAAAGGCTTACTTTATATTTAGAGGGAAGGTCTGCAGGCAGTAGGGCATCTAAGTCTCTGAGGGAAATGAACTATTTTGACACTATAGAAATTAGTGTTCATTATAGTTTTATCTTTACAGAGTGGGACCTAAAACTGGGCCAGTTTAAGGCTGATTGTTCTGTTTAGAACAAGCAGTTCTGCATTTCCATGTAGGTTCAGACTGGTTTTGGTTTCATGAGTTTCATGTAAGATTGTCCCATAAAAACTGATTTCAGTTTTTACTTGGTTACCTTGGTCTCTGGGAGATTCTCAAGGATCTGGAACATTCAGAAACAGAACCAGTCTGTTCAGGGTGGGGCTGCTGTTGCTTCTTCACTCAATCAGTCTTTTCTTCACTGACATCATCACAAAACCTGCAAAGACCCAGTCCAGGTTATATATATGTGTGTATCAGTGGTGGCTGGTCAATAGAGGGCGCTAGCCCCCCCCCCCACCCAATGACCTTGATAAGGCAGGAAATAAAAATTAAATTATAAAATAAAACAAAAAACTTTGAAATATATTTGTATATTTCTTAGATGTGCAAAATAAATATTTAATGGCGAGTAAAGCTGGATGCTGGTGAAGATTCTCAGTCATCCAGGTTATAGTCTCTCTAAAAAAGTAAAAAATTGGACTTTGTTTCCAAGATTGAAGACGTTTCGCTTCCCATCCAGGAAGCTTTTTCAATTCAAATGGTCAGAATTATCGTTGAGTTTGAAGCTTTATATAGAGGCCAAAAAACTTGTTTTGGTTTAGAAAACATGCAAATTGAACCAGAAGAACGGCTCTGCCTCTTAGGAACGGGTTCTTTTTTAGTCTGCATTACCTGATACCGGGCTATGCCTCTGAAAAGGGGGTCGTTAGGGGCAATTGTTGGCCCGGATGCCCAGATGAGATGTTTTGTCCCCTCCATGGGGGTGAGGGGTTGAAATGGTAGTGGGAATTAATCGACTCCTTTGCTGTATTGTAGGTTTTAAAGAGCTAAAACCTGAGTCCACCCCCGCTGTTTAAGGTCGTCTTTTCTTTCTTAGCATAAATGGATTCCTTCACGCCCCTTTCAATTCATCCGTCTTCTTTGTCCAAAATGTGAACACTCTGGTACTCAAATGAGTGTCCCTTGTTCTTAAGGTGTCCTCTGCAGCCAACTTGCACCTGGAATGATTCGAAAGATCCTCTGCCTGTCCACCCTATGGAACTGCCAAGCCGCTACACCCTCTCGGTCAAACTCAATCCCTGTAGACTCATCTACCTTCTCCCCATCTTTTCCTAACTCAGGAGAAACTGTAAGGCATCATCCTCAGTTTATAAACTCCTCACTTCCTCCTGGCAGCATAACGTCTCTTCCTGTCCAGTTCCAGTCTGAGCCTCGGTCCATTGAGCTTCCACGCCAGCCTGATTAATTCTTTCTTTGAACTCAAACATCTTTAAACGGTTTCTTACTCGTATTGCGTCTGCACCAGAGTCATCCCTAGCATAATGACAACAACCAAACACATTTGTGGCAATAACTAGTGATTTTAATCATGGCTCCCTCTCTGCTACACTGCCAACGTTCAGTTTGTCAGCTCTTGCACCAGAGAAAACGAAACTTTGAACAAATGTCAAGGACTCTTACATCTCTAAAGTAAGACCTCCTCTTGGGAAATCAAACCACATTCTTGTTTTTCTCTGCTCAGATTATAACCCACTTTATACGAGTCAACCTGAATTAAACATAACTTTAAGAAGATGGCCACTGGAAGCTGAAGAAGCCCTGCAAGGTTGCTTTGGGGCTGCAGAGTGGGATGCCCTGTCAGACACATGGAGAGGACAACAATGCATGCAGAGATGGCCGGCTTGGAGAAGAAGGATGATCAGACAGATGGAAGTCTGGTGAGAGCCAACGAACTCAGGTTCAGCTTAGGAACACGCGTTGCATCCATCCCTCCTGCCCACAGTCACATGGACACTAGGGGTGGGTATCGCCAAAGAAGTCATGATTCGATTCGAATCACGATTCACAGGCCACGATGCGATTCTATCACGATGCATCACGATACTTGAATTATTGCGATGCATTGCAATATTTTCTCCTCCATGTTTTGTTTTTGAATGACTCGGCGCAGTATCCCATGGCCGGAAATGCTTGTGACACAAGGCAGCGTGCGTCAACACATTTGCAGCGACATCTACTGGATTGGAAGTTGTATTACACTTGTTTTTGGCTGATGTTTGCCAACCATTCATGCAATTTTATTTATTCATTTTTTTAAATTAATAATCAATTCTTGGCATCAAGAATCGATGCAGTAGATCACGAAAATTAGAATCACGATGCATCATCATCCCGATTATTTTGCACACCCCTAATGGACACCCTACCTTCTTCTGCCATTGACTTTCCTCTTTCTTTGTTTTTGGAACTGTTTGGTTTTTTGTGTCCTGTTTTACCGATAGAGCTCTGGGAATAGATGACCCAGTTTTTTGTTTCAGTAGTTAACCACGATTTCCCCTTACACTTTGATCAGCCAGCAGATTCTATTTCTTGGCTTCTGGCCGTCTGTGATGTAATCCTCATGGGAAAAGAGAAAGAGTTTGAGTTGTTTCCTCCTCAGGCGCCATGAGGAGCAGGAATGATGTTCCTGTCGGAGCATCCTGTGAGATTAGATTTGCAGAAGTTGGAGACTTTGTGATACAGACCCAACTGGATCTCCTATATCCTCTATCAGCATGGGCATTGGTGCCCAATGTTTATAAAACCAATTTATAGAATTAATTAAAACTAACATCTTGCTTTATGGCCAAACACCTGATAGAATAGAAAGGAAAATAATTTCATTTAAAACAAACAAGGTGGAAAGGAATGATCACTTTACCACTTTTTGCAGAACGTAAATGAAAAAATGACTTTCTTCAATTTTATGAATTAGTGGAAAAATTCTCATAGGTCCTCAAGCTCTTCTTCTAGCTGCTAAGCCAATTTCTGCATGTTTCCTCGTGTATTAACAGATGAGCAATAAGTCTTTCAGCGTGAAAAGCCTCTTTGCCATCACCCTAATCTGTAACTCTTTCCAAAGTCTCTCAGATCAAAGTATGGACTCTAAAGCATCGCGGCACACATGTTGGTGAATTTGAAGATCAGTTTTAAACCTCAAAGCTTCCAGGAGTCTGAATAATTTGGGATTTAACTCTAGATACTTGTTTTCTGAAAGCAAATGGTCTGGGTGGGAATCTAGGCTGTAAATCACTGGTGCTGCTGGCAGTAGGGTTATATGTACCTTTACTGTTTTACAGCCAACGGGATTTATTCTTCAGATCTCACTTGTGAGAGATGTTGATGAGATCAGACCTGCAAACATTTCCATTTTAAAGACCGGTGCCAAAAATTCTCTGCAGCTGTCAAAGTTGTTACTCATCTTATGGAAATGATGTTTGCAGTCAGCTCACCTGACAGAGAGACCTTAAGGATCATGGCGCTTAGATAATGTATAAACTGCTGCAGAGCTTGCATCAGAATAGACTAAATAATATGACCACATCATAAAAACCTCCTTTAAAGCTCCGTTTCTGGTGAATTTTACTCCTTTAACACCTTTTTTCTCTGCAGGGCTGTTCAGGGCTCAGTTTCATCAGGACTAACAGACTCTGACTCTCATTGTTTGGTTGCACAATGAGCGCATTGGGCGGGGGTGTTGGGGGGGTGGGGGATTTGTGCAGACCTGCACTGTTTAGAACAACATGCGGATCAGAACATGTCGACAGGACTCCAGGTGTTGAGGATGGAGGAGGGATATGGGTCTCAATGTGTTAGTCAGTTAAAAACTGGTTCTGGGGTTCTGGAAAATGTCCCTGAAAGCCTGCAGGTAAAATTGCATCAGAATAAAGAGAATATGATACCTGACATTCATACTTTGCAGGTATGGGGGTGTGGGTGTGTGCTGGGTGGGTGGGGGTTGGATCCCTCCTCCTCCAGCAGGATATAAGCAGCTCAGCCCATCCTCTCCTGCATTCTCTTCTCCTCTCCAACCAGAGCTGCAGAACTTCTCCACCATGTCTTCAACGTACTCCATGCGCTCTGCCTCCTACTCTGGAGGGAGCCGCCTCGGCTCCATGAGGGCCCCCAGTGTGTACGGTGGTGCTGGGGGTACTGGGGTCCGGATCTCAAGCAGCACCGCTTCCAGAAGCTTTGCCTCTGGTGGCGGAGCAGGCTTTGGTGGCGGAGCAGGGTTTGGTGGCGGAGCAGGGTTTGCCTCTGGTGGTGGGGCTGCCTTTGCATCTGGTGGGGGCTTCGACCTGTCCGACGCCCATGACCTCTCTGAGAACAAGAAGGCCGCCATGCAGAACCTGAATGACCGTCTGGCTTCCTACCTGGAGAAGGTACGCAAGCTGGAGGCCGCCAACACTGATCTTGAGAAGAAGATAAGGGAATTCCTGGAGAAGAAGGCAACACCTGAGAGCCAAGACTACTCTAAATTCCTCACAATCATCAAAGACCTGCAGAACCAGGTAAGTTCGGGTTCTGTCCCTTTAGATCAGTACAGAGCAGAGAAACTAAATATGCTGTAATTGTTGAAAGACAAAACCTTAAACAAATGCTCCCTGCCGGGCCACACCCTGCTGCAGGATCCGTTTCCTGCAGGAGGCTGACCACACCCAACACAACAGGGCCACCTGAAAGTAGAGTTATGACCTGAACTCAACTCATTTGACTGTCATTTCCATGTTTTGAATGAAAACATTCAGGGAGAAAGGATTTCTTTTTAAACACGTTTCCTCTTTCTGTCCTTTTACTCGTCTCTTTAGATCATTGATGCTACCACCAATAATGGATCTCTGTACCTGGCCATCGATAACGCCAAGTTAGCTTCTGATGACTTCAGGGTCAAGTGAGTCCAAAAAAAAACCCAAAGCTCATGGAGGAAATAAAGTATTTACTCTAGATCTATGCACAGCTTTTTTCTCTCTTATAAGGATAAACTTGTTTGCAGTCTGTCAGCTAAAAGCTTGTTTTTTTTACTCTGCAGGTACGAGAACGAGCTAGCCATGCGCCAGAGCGTGGAGGGTGACATCGCCGGACTTAAGAAGCTCCTGGATGAACTGACCCTGGCCAGATCTGACCTGGAGATGCAGATTGAGTCTCTGAGAGAAGAACTCATCTATCTTAAAAAGAACCACGAGGAGGTGAGACTGAAGATGTGAACGAACACGTTTCAGTTCAGGTGGAAGTGGAAGAAAGCCTCAATCTAAAAAACATTGTTCCTGCAGGACCTGCTGGCCATGAGGTCCCAGGTGGGCGGTCAGGTCAACGTGGAGGTAGATGCCGCACCTCAGATAGATCTCGCCGCCAAAATGGCTGAAATCAGAGAACACTACGAGAGTGTCGCCAGCAAGAATCGCAAAGAGCTAGACAACTGGTTCCAGAGCAAGGTGAGCTCTCAGGAAACACCTAGAACACAGATGAGTCTCAGCAACATTTAAAATTCATGTTAGGCAATTGTTTGCTCAGGAAATAAGAAAGAAAACAACTCCATCATATTTTAAATGCATAGTATCTAATGATCTGATGTTAAGGGCAAACATACTTACTCTTCTGGCAGATAATCTTGGTAACCTGCTCATATCAAAGGAAAATACCCTAATTCTAAGATATTTGTACTTTTTCAGACCAGGTTTTGCAGTGCAGGTGAAATATCCGAACCAAATCAGGCTTAAACCTCTACTGGTTCTGGTACAACCACCTATATCAGCATTACTGTCTGAATCTGAACCTCTAAAGTCCAATAAATTGCCTTTTCAATGGAGGTCCAGAAGTACCAACATCCAACAGTAAAGAAGTGTTATCACTCAGAAGAATCAGAGATTTGATTAAATTCAAAGTTATCAAACATTTAATCAATGGAATAAAAGATAAAATAAGCAATGGTTAAGGATAGCAGGAAATAAATGTGTCACAGAATCATCATAAAACCATCAGACTGAGTATAAACCCCGCCCACAGGGTGGGGCACGGCTCACAGTGGAGTCATCTCTGCTTTTACTATTTATCATCATAATTAACTATTACTCTGTTTAATACATCATTTAAGATTATATGGAGTTAGAAACACTAAGTTATACATTTGATTTTAATAATGTTTTTAAAACTGGGTGCTTTGTACTTTTGGTACATTTATATAATTTGTCCCCATCTAGTGGCGGAAAATGGAACTGCATTTTAGTGTTTTGTTTTCTATAATTTGAAAAAATCTTTTTTTTTTTATTTATAAAAAATGTATCAAAAATTATGCATAAACATTTATATAATTAGATGCATTTGCCAAAGAATTATTTTATTATTATGAAAAGCAAAGTTTATTCTTCATTTTGGAGCAAGAAATATTCTGATGATTTTTTATCCTTTTTTTCAGTCTGAGGACCTGAACAAAGAGGTAGCCGTGAGCACAGAGATGCTCAAATCATCTCGCTCTGAAATCACAGAAATCAAACGAACACTACAGGGTCTGGAGATCGAACTGCAGTCTCAACTCAGCATGGTGGGTCTCTAAGAGCTCCTGAACTCTTCTCCTGCTTTAACGCTTTTACTGGATTCATTCATGCTTTCCTCTCACCCTGCAGAAAGCATCTCTGGAGGGAACTCTGGCAGAAACACAGAACAGGTATGCCAACATGCTAGCAGGCTACCAGGACCAGGTCTCAGCTCTGGAGGAGCAGCTGATGCAGCTGAGGTCCGACTTGGATCGCCAGAAACAGGAATATACCATGCTGCTGGACATTAAGACCAGGCTGGAGATGGAGATCGCAGAGTACAGGAGGCTGCTGGATGGAGAGGAATCAGGGTGAGCAAACCACCTCCCACTGAGACACTTCCATCACCAGATAACGGTTTAACAAAGTAACCCGTCAGATTTAGGAAGTGTAGGAAATCGTCCTCAAACTCAAGTTTAAGTCCAAGTTTTTGAAGTTGAACCTTCAGCCCAGATTAATCTAACTGGTGTCTCCTTCTTTCCAGCTCCTCCTCCTTCTCCACTACAACCACCACTCGGAGGGTGGTGATCGTCACCAAAGAGGTTAATGAGGATGGAGAAGTCACAACCGAAACGACGGAGTATTGATGAGATGTCAAACACCAATAAAACTCTGCTGATGAATATCTCTGCTTTCTGTGGTTTTGTTGTTATGATGAAGCCCAGAACCCATTGGTTGGGTTCAATCACAGTCCATCCGTATTGCAACATGAGCTACCCGAGGGTTACAGAAACCATGGAGGACCATAAACATTAAACCCTGCACTGTAAAACAAGCCCTGATCATCAGCCTCTCAGGCGTCTGTGCTGATCTGCTGTGGCTGGCTTTCACCTTTCAAACAGAACCAGTAAAACACAAAGATATTTCATGTAAGATGCAGCAGCAGTCATATAAATGGCCCTAATCAATCAAATGGCAGCAAAATCCCCTCCAACTTCCAGCCACTGGCCTTCTCCTGGGGACCTGGGCCTGCATTTGTTTTACTCTGACTCCACCCTTTCACTGAATTACAGAGTCTGACCAGCAGATGGCGCTTCTCTTTAGATCATAATGTTCACATATCAAGAGAGAAAGAATATTTTAGTACAAAGATTGAGGTTTAAAAAGGAATTTTTGGGAACCAGCCAAGGACCCATCAAGGAAAGCGGGGAAATATTGTCTCCTATTGTAGGAACACAATGAAACAAGAACCAGCAAACAATGAAGATAAAACGGCCATAAATAAAACATTAAGGGGAAAAATGCAATAAGTTGATGAACAGAAAGGTTCAGTTAATAGAAGCGATGCTGGTTTATCTGACCCAGGCTGCTGTTAAAGCTGCTGAGACACTAAAGGGAGACAGAAAATAACAAGAATCACTGAATCTATTGCAAAGGATAAATGAGGCAGGAAAAATAACACATTTTACACATTTAATTGAATTTTAAGGTCTTTAAAGGAATAATACACCCAAAACATGATTAGCCTTCATTTTCTACTCACCCCCATGCTGAACAACACTCTGGAGTACTTTTTTGATATCTCAAATGCATCTGGAGATCTGGGCGGCTTCTTGCTGTCTGCTGACATTCAAATAATGGAGGTCTATGGCGCCCGAGGCAGAAAGGTCCATAAAAGTCCACAAAAAACGTGTCAATATTCCTCCATACTGCTCGTCCAAAGTGTCCTGAGTGGGTAGCGTCCATAATTTACTCAAAACAAAGTCATTTAGAATGTTTTTAGAGCATAAACAGTAGTGTATAGGATTTCCTGAAAGCGCGCACCTGCGCGTTCATGACGCTACGGAAGCCGGCAGACCAAACCAGATGAAAGTGCGCATTCAGCGTCTGCTCTGCCAATAATGCAAGCGTAGAAGAAGAAATGTACTGTTTATCTGTGCAAAGAAAGAAACAACGAAAGAAAAATGTCTGAGGACTTCAGTGTTGAGGAAGAGCATGAGTTCTTTGCCGAGCTGAATGCGCACTTTCGTCTGGTTTGGTCTGCCGCGGTTTCCATAGCGTCGTGAACGCACTTTCAGGAAATCCTATACACTACTGTTTATGCTCTAAAAACATTCTAAATGACTTTGTTTCGAGTAAATTCTGGACGCTACCCACTCAGGACACTTGGAATACATTGGACGAGCAGTATGGAGGAATATTGAAACGTTTTTTGTGGACTTTTATGGACCTTTCTGTCTCAGGCGCCATAGACCTCCATTATTTGAATGTCAGCAGACAGCAAGAAGCCTCCCAGATCTCCAGATGCATTTGAGAAATCAAAAAAGTACTCCAGAGTGTTGTTCAGCATGGGGGTGAGTAGAAAATGAAGGCTAATCATGATTTGAGTGTACTATTCCTTTAAATATCTATTATCAAAGAAATATTGCATTACAAATATAAAACTAATATAATATGTCAGGTTTGGTGGAACTTAGCTGAGGACCCAAATGCAGAAATGAGTTTTGCTGATTTAATGAAGAAAACATGTATGGAAAGCAACCAGAAACCAGCAATGATGAACTGGCCAGGAGGAGTATATATGGGGGACAGAACAAAGAATGGGCTAATCAGCTGATATGGAGCAGGTATGGATAGATTCTGGGTAAGATTCTCAGTCATTCAGGTCTATTCATAGTAAATAATGAAATAAATAATAAATAGTAGATAAATTGTCATAGTCATTAAAAAAAAAAAGTTCAAAAACACTCCACTGGACTTTGTTCTGTTTCCCATTCCCATTTTGTTTCGCTCGCTTCCATCCAGGAAGCTTTTATAATTCAAAGTGTTAGCCGACAACTCAGCCGAATATTAAAATTACATCTAGTCATTCAGTGCACCTCAACAGGGCTACAGGTAGCTAAGCAGCCTGATTCTGCCCTCATGATGATCCAAGCTCCTTCCTTCCTCTATATTTCTAGAGTGGCTCATTATAGACAGCCAATCTGAGTCATAAAATGGCCTTTGACTGTGTTCCGCCCACCGCCAGGATAATGACTGAACAGTGGCTACTCTGCCCTGCCCTACCCTGCTGGTCACCAGTAGGAAAGAAAACCCAGCCTGTAGATATAAAACTGCATTAATATTTTTCCATAAAGGTGACTAACAACAAATCTAAGAATTTCTAGTTTGTCGTGACTTTGGTGACAACATAAGAAGCACTAATTGCGCTGAGTTTATTGTCTACAGAGAGCTGCTGTGAGCCCCTCCCTCCCCCAAAGCTGACAAGTGTACAGATTCAGCAGCAAACCAGTCAAAGAGGAAAAAACAAGTGTTCTACATCTGCAAGGCTTCAACATAACCCCCCTATAGTGGAATATATTTGTAATACTTTGTAACTAAAGTTTTTAGGGGTCTGTCTGAAACTGTTGCACTAGAATACATCCTCCCTGAATTTAATTCATGCACAGCTTAATCCACAGTATGTACCGCTTCTAATTGCCTTTAACCCTCTTAAAAGGTTCTCTGGGTCTACTGCTCGTGGATCCCATCCTCCGATGTCTCAGGTGGGTCTCTCATACCCCAGTCTGTTTTCAGCCTCACATCTCCCGTGCCTTCGTTAACGTGAGGCTGTGCATGGTCAAATTTTACGCCAACACTTCCTTCTCTTAGCAGGAATGTTGACAGTAAAACATGGCTGGGGCTTGAGAAATCATGTTTAGGGCTAACTGAACAACTTCTTTGGAAGGTTTGAGGCATTAAACAGCCTCCAGCAGTGAAAGCCGTTCCACACCAGGGGGAGAAGGCACTAAACCTGGACGTAGCTGAATCAACCCAAGAGTAAACCAAAGACCAGGTCACCTCTCTCAATGATTAGCAGCCTGTGGCTCTGACTCCCATCATGATGAAGTGCTTCCAAAGGCTGGTTAAAGATCATCGTCTCCAGTCTCCAGCATGTTGCCCGTTGCTATGCTGCTAAGTGTTGGAGGGAAACTCAAGCCTTCCAAATAGATTCACAGCAGTTTGCAGGTCTGGCACCATTAGGGACAGATTATCCAGGTAACGAAAATGTGTATTTTGATCATTTCATTTCGGTAAGTGTTGGCCTAGTGTTTAGAGCATCGCACCTGTGCTCTGAGAAGGTTGCAAGTCCCCAGTTTGAATCCCGCAGCCTCCACTCTGGGTTCCTGAGCAAAACCCTTTAATTCCTGATTGCTCCCAGAGTGCCGCACAATGGCAGCCCACTGCTCCCCAAAGGGATGGGCTAAACGCACAGAATGAATCGCCCCATTGTGTGGGAAAATAAAGGGATTTAATATATTTGTTACTTTTTTACAGTTGATTAAAGACTAAGCTAACAGGATTGATCGCATGGTACGCTAAGCTACATTAACAAAGGTTAACAATTATGTGTTTCTCATTTGTTCCTTACATTTTGAGTAACAAATTATGAATAAAAGTCATTAAATTCTAGATAACTCAAAGAAGACTAAAAATCCATGAACTAAAGATTATTGGTTCCTGATTAAGAAAATAATTTAATAAAACATTATTAGGCCAAATAATGTTTTATACATTTCATGGATTTTCATTCCGGTCGCTCTAAAATAGTTTAAAGCCAATTTGATCTCATCCCAAACCTTTTGTTTTCAAACACCAGATCCGTACTACGGTGATCTCAATGCATCATCTCATTGATTATTGTTTTCAAACACGTTTGCCTTCTTTGTACAAAACATTTAACCAAGTTTCACTAATTTAGGCAAGAGTTTTTAACTAAAATATGTTTGACTTGGAGCTGCATTATTTTTGTTAATGAACTCTTATATTTTGAAAATTGTGGTGAATTTATTCCATACAATATGCAGAACTATCTGTTTGGCCATGATTTAAACTCGATTCACACAACCAGTAGGGGCTCTAATGCAGGGCATGTGTTCCCCAACAATATATGACAGTCTGAATAAAGTCCAATAACATATTTACCAACCCTACTGCAGTGGGCAATACATTTATTATAGTTGTATGACACTGACTTGTACGGAAGAGGATTAGGGCCACTGAAAACAAAAAAGTTAACTGATCTTTAAATTTTATTTCAGTTTAACATGGGAAAAAAGTCAGAATTCTGACTTTTTTCTCAGAATTGTGACTTTTTTCTCAGAATTATGACTTTTTTCTCAGAATTATAACTTTTTTTATTGTCAGAATTCAGTCAGAATTCTGAGATTAAAGTCAGAATACTACGGTATACTGAAATAAAATTTAAAAAATCAGTTAACTTTTTTTTTTTTAGTGGCCCTAATCCTCTTCCATAGACTTGATGAGAAAAAGGGGGGAAAAAAATAACTCGCCCAATTTTTTGTTTCCACACTATGTGTAATTCCCCTCAGGCATGACGAGCACAAATGGATTTCTTGAACTGATTTAATGAAGCCTCCAAATCTTCATTAGCACCTTGAAAACTCGTTGGCTGCATGCCACAATGAGGGAATTATCCATGAATTAAAAAGGTGATAGTCCTTGATGCTGTCCTCGGTTTTTACTCAACAAACTTCAGCTTATAATGTTTGTGAGTAATGTGAAAAACCTCCGTTGATTTCCATGAAAGACGGGCGTTGGTGTTTTTTTCCATGGTAACCCAAGACGGACGTTGGTGAAATAACGTCTTCTCAAAACAGCGCAAGAACAAGCTTGTAGATATAA